CTTCTAGGCAGAGCCTAGGTAGGGAAAAAAGCAAAACACTAAGAAAACAACATATGGGACCTGACAACGCTGCACTCAGTGCCTACGGCACAATGCTGGGGATAGGTGCATTTGTGTATCTTAGCTGCCTCGATACGCCCGTTTTGATACGCAACACGTGCCGTGTTCAAAACGTCCGTGTCAATACGTTGCGTGTTGGCTCAACGTATTGGCCCACGTTTTGGCGAACGTATCGCGTCAGACCTGCGTGTCCAGTCTACGTGTTGAGCTCCGTATCGATACGCTACGTGTTGCGTGTTGCGTATCGGGGCAGCTCAGTCGTGTATACATCTGTGCATACACACACACTTTTTGATTCGCGGGTCGAGAGCGCACCTCTTCCGGCCGAAGACACACACACACACACACACACACACATACACAGACACAGACACACACACACACACACACACACACTCACACACACACACACACACACACGGCTGCCGGGTCCCTGGGCCCTCCGGGGCGGCCAGCTCTTCGCAAGTTCCTCCACCCCCCCGGGCGCCCAACGTTCGCCTCGGGGGCCGGCGGGCTTGTTCGAGTGCCCCGGGGGGGGGGCTGTGGACCTCGAGAGCCCTCGTCGGCGCCCCCAGGGCCTCCTCCTCCTCCTCCTCCTCCCTCCTCCTCCTCCTCCTCCTCCTCCTCCTCCTCCTCCTCTTCCTTCTCCTCCTCCTCCTCTCCTCCTCCTCCTCCTGCTCCTCCTCCTCCTCCTCCTCCTCCTCCTCCTCCTCCTCCTTCTCCTCCTCCTCCTCCCTCCTCCTCCTCCTCCCTCCTCCCAAGAGGCCCCCAGGACGGCCGAGGACGGCCCCACGAGGAGACCCTGCAGGAAGTTCCCGAAGGGCCAAGATTGTCGAAAACGGTTTTCGCTCTCGCCAGAGGCTGGGGGGGTGAGATCGCAGTGGGCGGAGGCGGAGGAGGGCGAGGCGAGAGGTGAGGAGGACGGCGGCGAGGAGAGGTGCGGCAGGGGTGCGACTGGCCGCGCTGCGGGAGCGTGGCTGCGAGGCCGGGAGGCGGCGGCGCCCCCAGGCGCTGGGGGGGTCCCCGAGGCGATCCGGAGGAAGGAACCAGAGGTGGCGGAGGAGGGCGAGACAAAGACGAGGGCGAGGGAGAGGAGGGCGAGGAGGCGGAGGAGGTGGAGCAAGAGGAGGAGGAGGAGGAGGAGGAGGAGGAGGAGGAGGATAGGCTATGTTGGAGGACGAAGGCGCAGAGGGGGCGGAGGCTGCGGCCAGGAGGCGGCCGCAGAAGAAGGGCACGTTCGTCGTTCCAGGCCAGGAGGAGACGACCAAGAAGAAGAGAAGGGCCAGAGGACGAGGACGCGGAGGAGGAGGAGGAGGAGGAGGAGGCGGAGTCAAGCGAAGACCTCCAAGGACCAGGTCTGAGGGCGCCACTCGGGGCCGGGGTCCAGCTTGAGCTTTGCCGCAAGACCTGTTGCTCGCAACTCTGTGAGAGCCCCCCAGCAGGAAATCGATGTCGGTTTCGTGTTCGTGTCGTGCGGGCAAGGCGAAGCTGCGCAGGCGCGCGAGAGGACTGACCCGCCGTCGATGGGGCGATTCGGATGCAGTGGACCGCCCTTCCGCCCCTGGTGGGCGCTCGGTGGCCCGGGGTGTCCCGCCGTGGTGCCCCGTTGGTGTCTCGTCGGTGTCCCATTGGTGTCCCGTCTGTGTTCCGTCGGCGGTGGGCGGGCGGTGGCCGGGGGTGTCCCGCATTGGTATCGATAGTGAAGTAGATAGTGAGATCGATGAGCAGATCGCTAGAAACGGGATGGATAGTGAGATGAAGAGCGAGATCGACAGTGAGGTTGATTGTGACATTGGTTGTGAGATAGACGATAGTGGCTCTACATCGTAGCGCAATGTCATCACGCAACGTCGCTAACTCGAGGGCGCATCACCAGCATCGATATCATTACACCCATCGCATTTGCCAGCAGTTGCTTCCTTCTCCTCACCCCCCAACCTCCTTATCACCCGAAGGGCGGTCGCACGGGTAACGGGTGCAATGTTGCCATTATCGGTTTGGTGGGGGGGTCGCAGCGTCCAAAACGGCCACTGGGGCCCAGAAGATCGCCCCGAGACGGCCCAGGACGCCCCCGAAACGGCCCCAAGATAGCGCGAGAGGCCCCCAAGATGAGCCACGAGGCCTCCAGCATGCCCCGCAGACGCCCCAAAAAGGCCCCAAGACAGCCCACAGAGGCCTCCAAGACGGCCCCCGAAGGCGTTTATCGGGCCACGCGCGTTCTAAGACAGCCCCAGGGGCCCCCCAAGAGACCCGAAGGGGTCCCCAAGAAGCTCCGAAGAGGCTACCAAGAGGCTACCAAGAGGCTGCCAAGAGGCTGCCAAGAGACCCTCCAGAGGCCCCCAGGGGCCTCGGGGGCCCCAGAGAAGCCCCAGGAAGCTTGGACACACTCAGCACCAACGCGGCCCAAGCGAGCCCTGGAGCACGTCCCCACATCTTCCCAACCGGCCCCAAGAGAGAGCCCCACGGCGGCCACCGGGAGGCCGCGCGGGGGCTCGCGGCGAGGCCGCCGCGCTCCGAGGAGCGGCAGGGCTGGCGGCCGGGCGGGGCGCCGTTCCCGGCCCCCGCCGACCTCGGCAGGGCCCCCCGCACCACCTGCCGCGCGACGCCTCGCGGCGAAGCCGCCTCGCTCCAGCTGCTTAGCATCTCATCGGGGGGGGAAAAAAACAAAAAACAAAAAAAAAAAAAAAAAAAAAAAAAAAAAAAAAAAAAAAAAAAAAAAAAAAAAAAAAAAAAAAAAAAAAAAAAAAAAAAAAAAACGCCCGAAACCAAAAAAGCACAGGGGATGGACGTCCGAGCGATGGCCCAGCTCCCGCCCTGCCGGATGCGGCCCGGCACCCCGCACCACTTCGAGCGCACGACGTACAGAGTGCGACACGGATTGCACCGCGTCGACTGCGTGGCACAGGTCGCACAGCACGGGCTGCACGACGTAGATTGCACAACACGAATTGCATCATATGCTCCACCACCTGTATGGCATCCCATCCTACCCACCCGCTCCACTTCGCTCCATCCCACTCCACTCCACTCCTCCCTATCCCTCCCCACTCCGTTCCGCTCCTCCCCCTTCCCCCCACCCCTCCGAACTCTTCCGTGCTCGTCCCCATGCCTCTCTGATCCACCAACCCCACTGCTCCGCATTCCTCTGCACTCCTCTCGGCTCTCTCCCACTCCTACGCCTTCCTACCCACTTTTCTCCATTCCCCCCACTCGTTTCTAATCCTCCCCACTCAACTCGATTCGATCCCAGTTTACTCCGCTCAAGGCCACTTCACTCTATTTGATTATTGCACCTCGGGCACTCCGTCCCACCCGATCGCACTTCCCACCTCTCAACTCCACTCCACTTCTCCACGTGCTTCCGCACCTCTCCGCAGTCCACCCCATTATAAATTTCCATCCGATCCTCCCCACGAGACATTCCAGGAAAGCCAAATCGTACAACGAACATCTGGAGTTCATATGTTTACATGTTCTGCAGCTCCCACCGTGCCAAACCAGTCCACAGCCATCAAACAAAAACTGCCCCGATATTCTGTTCAGGAACTTCCTTGACGAACTCGCAAGTCCTGGCCTGCGTGTCAGCCCTGAACGACGCCACTGGGGCCAAAGATGCGCGTAGCGACAGCGCCGAAACAGCCCCAAGACAGCTCAAATAATCCCCTCGAAATACCATGACCGACCCAAGACGGTCGCAACACTTCTTCGATAGCGAGTCGGGCCCCCAGGACTGTCCAACGACACCCCCGACGATCACGCCAATCAACACCTACGTTTCGTCGCAGCGGCATGGGCCGCGCTAGAACCTTAGCGTGCGCGAAGCGCGCGTGGTTCTAGTACAGTTGTGTGTGAACCTATGTATACAGATATATGTGACACGGTCTTCTGATCATACATATATGTATGTATGTATATATAACTGAATATACCTATACGACCACCCTGCGGGTGATAAGTGGGGGGGGAGGGGGGCCAGCAATGGGCAACAGTGGTGATTGTTGCGTTGCCGCTCGCTCTTGGGACCATCGATCCCACTATCAATCTCACTCGATCGATCTCACTATAGATCTCACTCGATCGATTTCATTGTCGATCTCACTCTGGATCTCGCTATCGATCCCACTATCGATCTCCCTATCGATATCACTCGATCTCACAATCGATATCACTATTCATCTCACTATCGATCTCACTATCGATCTCACGATCGATCTCACTATCGGTCTCACTATCGATCTCACTATCGATCTCACAATCGATTTCGTCATCGGTCTCACTATCGTTTTCGCACCAGCGGGACACCGGGACACAAGCGGGACACCAGCGGGACACCGCGGGCCACCGCTTGCCGGTGGGAGAATCATTTGGTCCGGCCGGGACCCAGCCACAAGCGGGACACCGGCGGGACACCGGCGGGACACCGCGGGCCACCGCTTGCCAGAGGGAGAATCATTTGGTCCGGCCGCGCCTCAGCCACAGGAGACTTCCCTCTCGCCCGCCCACGCAGCTTCGCCTCGCCCGCACGCACGGCGCGCACGAACACGAAACCGAAACCGAGTTCCCGGTGGGGGGCTCTCCGTTTCACTTCGATCTCACCCCCCAACCTCCGATAATATATATATATAGATAGATAGATAGATAGATAGATAGATAGATAGATAGATAGATATATCGAATATAGATAGATAGATAGATAGATAGATAGATAGATAGATAGATAGATAGATAGATAGATAGATCTATATATATATATATATACCTCGAAACGATGTTTGCGTGTGTGTGTGTGTATGTGTTTGTGCACACGCTGGTGTGCCTAATTCATGTGATATTTGATGGCTGCCTATATGCGCCGCTCGTCATGTCAGTATTCGCCTCTGTGCAGGAGGACGCCTCCGTCCCTCCGCTCATCCCCCTGTGCTCCTTCTTACCGGGGGCAGGGCGGCCGATGCTGACGCAGTCAAGCAGATCGACCTGGACATGCCCCGCACCGCTGGCGGCGACCCATTGTTGTCTGCGCGGCACCGCGGGGAGGACGGAATGTGCACGCTTAGCGGATCGTCCTTGCTCTTAGTTTGGTGTTTGCTTTCGGAAGTCCCTCTTGTCGCAACGGCCGCTCGCAATTCGAGAAGTTGTTCAGATTGGTCGGGATATTGTCGGAGTGGAGCCCCGTGATTGGTTTTAAGGCGTTGGTGAAGCAGGATAGCGTGCCCCATGCGCTAGAGTATCCCCGTTTTTGTTCATGGTGATTTGGCCTGGAGCCGAGCCCCACCAGTTCGTCTCCTCAGGCAGGGCCGACGTGCACCGTTCGGTGCTGCGCAGCCTGCCCTGACACTGGCAGGAGCTCCCCTTGACTGCGTGGGATTTCTGCACATGGTGACCTGGCCTGGAGCCGACCAGCGCCTTGCGGAGAAGCATCAGGAGGAGCAGAATTGATGGCAAAAACCGCTCCTGACGAGGTGTCTGCTCGCGGTTTCCGCCTGTGCCTCGGCGGAGCGACCACCGTGCATGGACGGAGGCCCCGAGCTGATCATGCTCTGGGTTTGCAGCGCAGCCTATACAAACTCGGGCGGGCTCGAGCAACGTCAGGGCGGGCCTCCCAGGGCGGACGGGATCCGGACTGCAGAGGTGCCCTGATCCTTCGCAGCTCCTTCCTCTGCTCCCTCCTGCCACCTTCCTGGGAGCCGCCGCCACAGGGTCGGGCGGCGGCGGAGCTCACGACAGGGATGGCGTGGGCACGGGCGGGCGCACAGCAGACACGACGGATAGCAAGTCGGCCCGCCAGCAGGTGCCCCACGGGAAGCTCTCCGCCCCCGATGGCCCCAGGGGCCCACGCAAGTCCTGGGGCGCTTGAGGACCCTGAAAGATCTGGGAGGAATGTGCCTCATGATTTCTCATAACAAGCTCTCTCGTCGCATGGAGCCCAGTTCTCGGCCTCCATCGGGGGAGGCCTCAACAAACCCCAGCGGGGATCACGGTCTCCGGCGTGACAGCGAGACACATGCGACGTGTCAGATCTCGAGCGTAGTAGTTCAATTGTTCATTTGTTCGCGAAAACTCCATGAAGCGGTCCTCAATGCTGCCGAATTAGAAACAATTTCTTATCGCATGTGTATACTGCACATAGCACCCGCGCCCTGGGCGACAGGAAGGACGGGGCAAGGAAGCCGCTGGGGACGAGCCGCTTTCATTGTTCGCGAGGGCAGGAGAATCGGAGGGACCGACCCCTGCTCCTGATGGAGGGCAGGAGGCGCTTCGCCTCGTCGGTTTCGACCGTCCCTGGGACAAGAGGCCCCCCCCTCGGCAGGCCTCTTCGGGCGTCCTAGCCCCGGGCGAAGTCCTGGCAGCGTCCGCCCTGAAAGGTCCGGTGCACCAGCACCAAAGAGTCCACGCCATGGCTTGAAGTCATCGCTTGGCGGTTTTCTGCCACAAAGCCAGAATCTGTTGCACACGTCGGCTAGACGGCGATGACGCAGTGGCTCTCGCAATGCTCCTTTCAATCCTGGATCGACAAGGGCTGGTGGAAACTTGAATGATGATGAGAAGTAGCGCAACTGGCCCCACCACTCCCCAGCTGGGTTTTCCTCTGGGCGAGCTTGTGGCCAGGGCTGGGACAGATGCGGACCCTTCGGGGGCGAGCCCCTCACACCCCGTCTCCTCCTGTCCTGCTCCCTCCCTCGGGCAGAGGGGCGAACCCGTCTTCATGGGTCCCTCTTTCCCCGCCGCGCCGCGCGCTGGCCTGGAGGCTCAGCTGGGTGCGGGCCATGCTGATGCGGCAGCTCGCAGAGGAGCGCAGCCCCTTCTGCCTTCGCTTGAGTGGCGCGATGAGCCTGGAGGGCCCGCCACGCCGTGAGGGGGGACAGGGGATCCGGCGGAGTGGAAGCTACGGGGAGCACCCCGGGTCCTGACAGTCGCGTTGGCCCAGGGGGCTCAGGCTTGAATCGGCACACCGGCGGCAGGCTGCGGGAGGAAAGGGAGGAGGAGGACAAGGAGGAGGCAGAGACGACTAGGGAGGGAGGGCTAGGAAGGAGGAGGAAGAAAGGACTAGGAGGAGGGAGAGAGGACTAGGAGGACTAGGAGGAGCAGGACGAGGAGGAGGACGAGGAGGAGGAGGAGGAGGACGAGGACTAGGGAGGAGGAGGACTAGGCAGGGGCCAGACCTCCTACGAGATAGAGCGAGTCCAGAAGGGGCCCGGCAGAGCGTTTCCCAGGGGCGCCCCCGGAGATTTCGGGAGCCCCCGCCCCCCTTCCCCCCCGCGGCCTCGTCGGAGGGGACACCCCATCGCGCCTGCCCCTGCGGGCCGCGGGCTGGCCGGCAGCGGCCGAGCATGCCCCTGCCGAGCCCGGAGGCGAGGCCGAGGGTGGGGTGGGTGCGGCGCTGCAGGGCGGCGGCGTGCGCGGCGGTCGTCGTTGTCGTCTTCGTTGTCGTCTTCTCGTTCTCGTCATCGTCGCGCGCGCCCTCCCTCTGTCTTGCTCTCTCTCTCTCTCTCTCTCTCTCTCTCTCTCTCTCTCTCTATGTATGTATATATATACATATAATACATATATATATATATATATACAAAAAAAAGGCCGGGGGGGGGGCCAGGCCGGTGCCACCCTCCCCCATGGGCGCCCCCCGGGACCCTCGGGGGGTCACAGACCCACCAGGACTGCCCTGGGCCGCTTCCAAATTGCCCACGACAGGCCACGCGGGCCGTACAAATGGTCAAGAAAGCCTCAAGAGGCCCCGAAGACGCCCAAGATGGCCCCAAGACAGCCCAAGAAGCCCCGAAGCCGCCCCAAGAGGCTTCAAAGAAGCGTCCCAAGGGAGCCCCGAGAGGCCAAAATCGATGATGTTCAATTGTGTTTTTCTATGTTTTTGGTTTTGATCGCCTTTTTCCCTACCTAGGCTCTGCCTAGAAGGGTTCTTACTCTGTTGGCTTAAAGGGGCCGGGCAGTGCAAATCGCCCCGGGCGGTTCCCCCAGTCCCCTGGGACCCAAGCAAAAGCAACAGCAAAGGTAAAAGCAAACGCGCGGTTCCCCCAGTTGCGCTCCCTGGGTGCCAAGCAAAAGCAAAAGCAAAGGCAAAAGTGAAGGCAAAAGCGAAGGCAAAGCAAAAGCATAGCATAGCATAGCATAGCGCAGCATAGCACAGCGCAGCATAGCATAGCCTAGCCTAGCCTAGCCCAGCATAGAATTGCGCAGCATAGCGTAGCAGAGCAGAGCAGAGCAGAGCAGAGCATAGCATAGCATAGCATAGCGCAGCGCAGCATCCACGGCGTATACCGCTCCTACTAATGTTGCTTTCCTAGAGGCTCCAACTCCTAGGTAGGGTCGCACTGGGATAATTACCTTTCCGACGCTCCAACACTGTCCAGGAGACCCCCTTGACGGCCTGAAGAAGGCCCTGGACAGCCCCAAGACAACCCAAGAGGCGCCCCAGAGAGCCTTAGAAAGCCCAAGAGGGCCCCGAGAAGGCTTCCAGAGGGGCCCACGAGGGGAAACAAAAAGTCTAAATGTTATTTTTCCGCCCTGAAAGCTTCCCAGGAGGCCCCGAGAGAGCCCCAAGACGCGCCAAGGAGGCACCCAAGAGGCCCCGAGGAGGTCCCCAAGAGGCCCACAAAAGACCCCAAGAGGCCCCAACACGAGCGCCACCCCCGCCCCTCAGTCAAGTTGCGTTCACGCCGCGCTACGCAGACGCCGTCGCGCAGATCCAGGAACCCCCCGGAGGCCATCAACCAAGCGGGAAAGGGAGCCGTGGCGCAGATGCATCCTGGGATGCACACAATGCCCACTGACAACGTCTTCGGGGGAGACTAGAACCTAAGCGCGCGCGCGAATCGCGCGCGTGGTTCTAGTGTGTATATATATATATATATATATATATATATACACACCTTTATTGAATCGTTTCGCTCATTCCGCCTGCCCATAACTGCGCGCTGTTGTCGACTGACCGAGTGGTCTTTCGCGGTGCGGAGCTGCAGGGGCGGCGGCTGTTTCATTTTTTTCTCAGGGCGTGCGTTCGGCATGTGAGGCTGCTTGGTGGTCGCTGGGGGAGTCTTGAACGCGTCGCGGGCCGTCTGGAAGCGTTTTGCCTGTGGGGACTCTTTCGGGAGGCCTCTTGGTGGCCTCTTGGGGACTCTTAAACGCGTCGGGTCGTTGGCACTTGCTTGCGTGCTCGGGGGGGGGGGGGGTGGTGGGGGGCATTTGGGGGGCCTCCTGGGGCCGCTTGGGGGCCTCCTGAGGGTCTGTTGGGGGCCTCTTGGGGCCTCTTAGGGGCCTCTTGAAGACTCCTGGGGGCTTCTTCGGGCCGAGGGCTCGAAGTGTTGTTTCGTGTTCCCCCCCTGGGACCTCTCTTGGGGCGTGGGGCCGTCTTGGAGCTGTCGGGGCCGTCTGGGGGGCATCTTGCGCGTCTTGGAGCGATCGTGTGGCATCTCGGAGCTCTCTTGTATCATCTTGAGGGGCTCTTGGCGGCCTCTTGGCCTTCCTTAGGGCTCTCTGGACGGCCTCGAGGGCGGCGCCCAGGAGGAAAACCATCTCTGACCCGCAGCGCCCTGGACCTGCCCGGGGTACTTTTCTTCTGGGGAGCCCCAGGGGCCGCCCTGCGCGCGCTAAGTAGAATTACTGTACGGCGGTCGCCGCAGATCTTAGCACGCCTCTGGCCCGTTGGGCCGGCGAATCATCCGTTCTTTCTTCGTTGCTCTTTCTTCTCCTTCTCCCTCTGCTGCAAATACTCCTCCTACTCCTCCTCATACTTCTGCTTCTCCCTCTGCTGCACCCCGGGGCTTCATCCCCGGGCCGCGTACCCGGGGTCTCGCCCCTGGGCTCTTTCCTTGTCTTACGTTCCCCAGGTCATTGTACCCGGGGCCGCTTGCCCTGGGTCCCGCCCCCCCGGGCCGATTTCAGAGAGCAAGCCCCGAGTCTTTGCCCCAGGGCCCCGGCCGCCTGAGCCCGGGAAAGTTTGCAAGCTTGCGCGAAACGCTTCGGGAGCAGTGCCCAGGGGGCTTGCGAGGAAAAGCTTCGCGGAGCCGCGCCGAGCCTTCTGAGCTGATCCCACAAGCTCGCCCGACCGGCCAGGGCGCAGCGCCTGGGGCACAGTGGCCCTGCGACGTCTGCGACGTGTGCGAATGGGGAGGTGCAGCCTGGGTTGTCCCAGGCGCAGTGCTGGCTCTGTCCTCCAGGGGTGGGCACAGTCATGCTGGCTCTTTGGGCCGACCATCCCTCCCGCAGCCCCCGCGAATGAGCGGCCCGACGCCCGCGCCCGCGCCCGTCCTCACCCGCCCTTCTGCGGCGCCATCTCTACCCGCGCGCGGGGGCGCGCTACCGCTCGTGGGTTCGCTCGTCCGCGGAGCGGTTCCGGGCACCAGGCCACGGATGCTCGATGGCTTTCTCTGCTCTTGATATCATTCCCCCATCTTGCGAGAAACGATACGTAGCACACCACAAGTGCGGAGAAGAGCGCGGGGCCAGGAGGGAGAGATTGGCGAGGGGGAATCGGAGCTGCGAGCAGCCGTTGCTTCAAGCAGTCCGCCTTCCCGGCGCGCCCTCCCGGCGCGCCGCCCCGACTCTGGCCACGCGCTAGCAGGGATAATGCACGACCGCTTGGGCCCCTCTTCCTGACTCGCTCGGGAAATCTGGTTTCAGCGGGCACTTTTTGAACAACGTCACCAAGAGAGACACAGCAGACAGAGAAAAGTGTGGCTGGATTGCGACGACAACTATACGATCTGAGGTTATGGGGCCGAGGGCCCGCCGCGACGCCCTGTTCAAGGCCGGATGTCCGATGCCATCGTTTCCACTTGGTCGGTCCATGCAGTGCAGGGAGTTGGGCGGGGCACCTTCTGCTGAGTCCCTTCAAGGGCAAAGATCGGGAGGGGCAGGCTCACGGGGTGGACGCATCGACCCCCAAACGCCCACTCGTCGCTGATAGGTGGCCCGGTAGCCCATCCCGCCCCAGAGCGCGCGCGCAAGTGCTATCGGGAGCCTATCGCCGATCGATCCGCGATGCACTCACGATTCCCAATCAAGGCGCCACCCTCTGGGCTGGCCCCCCCCCCTAGCATCCCTTCTGGCCCCTCCTCGATCAGTGACAAGTCAGGCACTCGCTGGAGCCGCTCCACAGGCGCCCTCAGAACTCGTCCTGAAGGCCCTCGCGGCGGAGGCCATGACGACGGACTTGGCTGGCTTCGCCTGGAACAACGAACTTGCCGTTCACCTCTGGCCGCCTCCTTGCCGTATCCTCTGCCTTCTCTGCCTTCTCTGCGTCCTCTGGCCCCTCCTCCTCCTCCTCCTCCTCCTCCTCCTCCTCCTCCTCCTCTTCCTCCTTCTCCTCCTCCTCCTCCTCCTCCTTCCTCCCTCCTGCCTCCTCCTCCTCCCCTCCCTCCTCCTCCTCCTCTTTCCTCCTCCTCCTCCTCCTCCTCCTCCTCTCCTCCTCCTCCTCCTCCTCCTCCTCCTCTCTCATCCCTCCTCCTCCTCCTCCATCTCTCCTCCTCCATCCTCCTCCTCCTCCATCCTCCTCCCCTCCTCCTCCTCCTCCCCGTCTCCTCCTCCTCCTCCTCCTCCTCCTCCTCCGCCTCCTCCCCCTCCTCCTCTTTCTCAATACTGTCCTCCTCCTCCTCATCCTCCTCCTCCTTCTCCTCCTTCTCTTTCTCCTCCTCGTCCCTCCTCCTCCCCTCCTCATCTCATCTCACCATCATCATCATCATCACCATCATCATCATCCTCATCATCATCTCATCACCAATCATCATCGTCTTGTCCGCCTCCTCCCCCTACCTCCTCCTCCTCCTCCTCCTCCTCCTCCTCCTCCTCCTCAATTCCTCCTGCTCCTGCTCCTCCCCCCTCCCTCCTACTCTCCTCATACTCCTCTCCTTCTCCTCCTCTTTCTCGTCCTCCTCTTCCTCCTCCTCCTCCTCCTCCTCCTCCTCCTTTTCCTCCTCCTTCTCCTCCTCCTCCTCGTCCTCCTCCTCCTCTTCCTCTTTGCCCCGAGGGCGGGGGCCTGGCACCTGTTCTCATGGTGTCAGCGCCACGCACTCTTCGGGGCACGCTGTCAGTGTCAATTGCATGCGGCGGCTGGGGGCAGATATACAGGCTTTCGCCGTTCTTGCACCAGCCACGTGGCACTTTGCCCATGGCAGCGGCGCGTTAGCTGCGCCCGTGACCTGGAGATGGGTACCAGGCACGGGGAGTGTGCATTTGGTTGAGAGGCGGGGCCATGTGGTCCGGAAGTCCCTTGGGACCTTGTGTCCGCTCACCCTGGGGTACAAACCAAGTTGCACATGCCATCCGATTCGGCAGGGGTGACGGTCGGGAAGTACTGCGCGGTGACGCGGTGAACCGGCTGTCCCCCTACGCACCACGCCGTCCCGGTTGGGCAGCGAGTCGCTGAGCGACGAGGTATCTGCCTTTCCCCTGACCGTCGGTGCTGGCGCCTGCGGGCCCCTTCCTCCTGTCCGGGAGGCCGATGGTGACGGTTGAGCCTCGCTCGCCGTTCACTTTTTGGATCTATGACAATCATGACACTCCTCCTCCTCCTCCTCCTCCTCCTCCTCCTCCTCCTCCCCCCTCCTCCTCCTTCCTCCTCCTCCTCCTCCTCCTCCTCCTCTCCTCCTCCTCCTCATCCTCATCCTTCATCCTCATGCCTCATCCTCATCCTCCCTCCTCCTCCTCCTCCTCCTCTCTCCTCCTCCTCCTCCTCTCCTCCTCCTCCTCCTCCTTTTCTCCTCCTCTTCCTCCTCCTCCCTCCTCCCTCCTCCTCCCTCCTCCCTCCTCCTCCTCCTCCTCATCCTCCTCCCCTCCTCCTCCTCCTCCTCCTCCTCCTCCTCCTCCTCCTCCTCCTCCTCTCCTTCGCCCTCCCTCATTATGGGGGCCCCCTCTTAGCATGGCCGGCGGCTCGGAGACACCACGATACCTCGGGCGTCGCCACATGTGTTTCCAGGATTCTTGGGGGGCACAGATGGCTTCCAGGGCGCCCCTTACGAGGATCAGAAGGCCCCTGCGGCTCCAAGGTCGCGCGATAAGCTGGGGATTCGTTGGGCCATGGCCACTGCCAGCAACACCCGAGCCCCATCGAGGACCCAGATCTGGGTTACTGCCAGGGGATGAACCTCGTCGCGGCGATTTTCGGCGCCGCCGCGGGCTCGTACGTAGAGGAACGTGGCCGGCCGCGGCCCCGCGCGCCCTGCGAGTGCGAGCGCGCTACGACGGGTCAGGAAATTGGCGAGAAGAGAATTGTCGGCAAGCGTGCCGCCCCTCGCCGGCGCAGTTCCGAACAGTTCCTAGGTTTTTTTCATGCCTCGAGATGCGTTCCAGCTGCCGCACCTCGCCGAGAGCGTTCCCGGGGCGCCGAGATTGCCCCGAAATGCCGCCAGAGACCCGAGTTGGCCCGAAAATCGAACGACCCTTCGCCGGAGTGACCTTTGGTGCGCGGTTTCCGGGGGGCGTGGGGGGAGGGGGCACGGTTCCGAAGCCGACAGGTCGCTTGTGCGGCGTAGCGCGTGCAAGTGTGACAGAACGGGCAAGCCGCTGACGCCGGGGGCACCTCAGACAACAGTGGACAACCTTCGTTTATGACGTGGCATAGCTACACTTACTCGCGCACACGCACGCTCCACTTTTCATTATGCCTGCGACGCGCCCGCAGGGGATGCAAAGCCACAGTCAGTCAGGGGGGGGCCAGACCAAGGCACGCCAGCCGGTACTGTCGCCTCCCAGGCAGCCGTTGGCAACCCGCGCACTGGAGGTCTTTCTTGCTCAGGGTCGCCCCTACGCGCAGCCGAGGAAGGGCGGCGCTGAGCCGTCTCGAGCGATTGGAAAAACGGATTCGTCTTCAATGACATTGGCGCGTAAGCTTCCCGCGTAAGGCGGCGCGTAAGCGCCTTCGTCTCGAGTGTTGCGTGCCGCATTGGCGTCTCGCATATAAGCCACCGCGCAGTGTCGCCCCTGTCACCTCGCGTAAAGCCTTTTTTCTTGTCGTCGTTCACTTGTGGGCGGAAGGAAGCAGAGTGGTGGATGAGGGTTTCGAAATGCCTGGGGGTGGCCGTCACGCGGCAACGCCCCGGGCAAAAAAAATAAACAGTTGGGTTCCAGACCTGCTCGTGGGCGTCGTCGCCATTAAGATTCTCCAGGCTCACGCCACATCCGCCGACCCCTTGATTCGTACCGGCGGCTATCGCCGCGTTTCCGCCTTCACTGCTCGTAGCTGCCAGGCGTTACAGTGCAGTGGCAAGTGCCAGAAGAAAAGATTGAGAGGCATGGCAAAGCGCATGGAAAAAAGAACGGAAGAGGAGTAGTCGGAGGTGGAGGAGGAGCAGAGGGAGGAGGAGGAGGATGAGGAGGATGAGATTGAAGAGGATGAGGAGGTCGAGGATCAGGTTGAGGAGGATGAGGAGGGTGAGGTTGGGGAGGATGGCGAGAGCCGGGATCCACCGGAGCCCGGATGACCCCGGCTCGAACGCCTCTGGGCTACCTTGGGGCTGTATTGGAGGCCTCCAGGGCCGTCTGGGAGCGTCGGAAAGCCCAAAAGGCAAATTTGTGAAAAATGTACGTTTCACGAAGGGAACGGGCCAATTTTTTGCGCCGAGGGGCCCTCCTGGGACGCATCTTGGAGGCCTCTTGGGGCCTCTTGGGGCCGTCTTGGGCCGACTGGAGGCGATCGTCGGTGTCTTTGATCGCTCTTCGACCGTCTGTGACCATATTGAGCTCTCTTGGAGGCCACTTGAAGCGCTCCTGGAGCGCTCTTGGGGCCGTCTTCGGGGCCCTCTTGGGCAATCTTGGGCGCCTCTTGGGCTGTCTTGGGGCTCTCTGGGGCTGCCTTGGAGCTTCCCTGGAGGCTTTTTGGACCGTCTTGGGGCGGTATTTAGGGCCTCTTGGGCCGTCTGGGAGCGTCGGAAAGCCCAAAAAGCGAATTCGTGAAAAATGTACGTTTTACGAAGGGAATGGGCCAATTTTTGCGTCTAGGGACCCTCGTGGGACGCATCTTGGAGGCCTCTTGGGGCCTCTTGGGGAACTCTTGGGCCGTCTTGGAGGCCTCTTAGCCCGTCTTTGAGCCATCTTGGGCGTCTTGGAGCGCTCGTTTGGCGTCTCGGGGCTCCCGTGGGCCGTCTTGAAGGCCTTTTGGGGCCATCTTGGCCCGTCTTGAGGCTTCCTGGGGCCCGGAAAAGCCCCGGCGGCGCTCGTCCCGGGCCCGGG